ACAGACATTTCAGCCAAAAAAATCTGTCATGAAAACATTTAAATACCAAAGACTTAGCCCTGTATGTCTGCTAGTAGAATTATATGCAGTTTTGAAGAATGAGGCTCCAAGCAGATACATTAGAAGACCTTGAACTATAGTTGTAAAAAAATAAATGGTACTCCAATTACAACAATGTTCAATATTATTCATAAATTTACAACAGCACACATTAAAAAAAAAACCCTGTTCTTTAACATAAAGTTCCTGTTAGCTCTTCTCTGTCGAAGAGTTTTATATGAAAATCTTTATGAATACAAAAAGCAAAGTCAATTCCACTACAATCACATGTATTTGACGTCTCTATAGAACTGACTTCCTGGAAAGAACATTGTGGGAGTATATTTGTATTCTACATGATAAAAATATCTACTTGTTTAGAGCATCAAGAAAGATAAAAGAAGCAAGGTAAAATATGAGATTTTCTTCACCTTGAGATTTACTTGAGTTTTATTTTTGCACTTCTAATTTAATTTAAAGAAACAAGGCACTAATTACCTTGAACTACTTTTGTCATGAAACACTTACTGGCTTATCCTTGAGCAGGGCAAGAACTGTCACTGCAGTGCCAATATTCAGGTTTTGTTTTCAGAAAGCATTAAAAACTAAGCTTCCATAAATCTATAGTAACCTCTTCTTAATTCATTTGACCAAAGACAACAAGAACAGAACAAGTTTTCTTACAATTCATATTTTTCCCAACTAATATTTATTTTGATCAAAATTAGAAGTAGTGCAGTGTTTCATATTTTCAGTTCCTTGTAATTTCTTAAAGAACACAGGCTCTGAGCCACAAATAGATTTTCCATAAAAGTTCATCAATTCCACCTAATAGCAGCAGATTCCTCAGAGGAAGGCAACACTTCTCACCATCCACCAAATTGACCGTGCTGTGTTGGACACGAGGGGGAAGATGGTTCTTTTGGCCTATTCAAAGTCTCCCACCCTGAAATCATCTGAACACATTTCATAGAGTCAGAGAATCATCAGCTTTGGAAATACCTTAAGATCATCCAGTCCAACCCTCAACCCAGCACCATCACTGTAACCCCTACACCACCACCCAGCACCAGATGCAGATACCTCTGAAACAGCTCGAGGGATGGTGACTCCACCACCTCCCTGGGCAACCTACTCTGATGCCCAACCACCCTAAAAGTGGAAAAAAAATTTCAATCATCTAATCTGAATTTCCCCTGTCTCAGCTTAAGAACACATCCATGTGTTCTCTCACTGCAGGCACCGTAGACGAGACCAGCCCGCACCTCACTCCAACCTCTCTTCAGGGAGCTATAGAGAGCAATGAGGTCCCTCCTGAGACTCCTTGTGACTAAAGAAGCCCAGCTCCCTCAGCCACTCCTCACAAGACACATTCTCTAGATCGTTCATGAGCCTTGCTGCCCTTCACTGGACACTCTCCAGTACACCTCCATGTCTTTCTTTTAAGTGAGGAGCCCAGAACTGGACACAGCACTCAAGGTGAGGCCTCACCAGTGCCAAGCACAGTCCCTGGCTCTGCAGGAACCACTATTCCTGATACAGGCACCCCAAGGACCCTTCCCACTGGGCCACTTCCCAGCCACTCTGCTCCCAGCCTGTAGCACTGCATGGGGCTGTTGTATCCTGAGTGTAGGACCCAGCACTTGGTCATGGTGAACTTCATAGCCCTGGTCTGGCCCATTGCTCCAGCCTGCCCAGGTCCCTCTGCAGGACCTTCCTGCCCTCCAGCAGATCAAAATCTGACTCAGTTTCCCACGGTCTTTGAATTTGTTCACGGTAGGCTCAAACCCCTCACTGAGAACATCAGTAAAGATGTTAAACAAGACTAGGCTGAACACTCTTCCCTGGGGGGCACCTCTAGTGACTGGACACCCATTGGATGCAGCAGCACGATTTACCACCACTCTCTAGCCTGGCCATGCAGACAGTTCTCAACCCAGGGAAGAGGGCACTTGTCTGTGCACTGCCAGCTTTTCTGAATTTTTTCAGCAAAAGGGTTGTTAAGCATGCAACAGGCTGTCCAGGGAGGCAGAAGAGTCACCATCCCTGGCAGTGTTAAGAAACTGATGAACATGGCACTTAGTGGTCTTGTTAATTGAACGTGTTGGTGTTCAGTCAAAGGTTGGACCCAAGGATCTCGGAGGTATTTTCCAAACTTAATGATTCTGTGATTCAATGATATAAAAAAATCTCTTGCAAACTGCAAGGGGGGAGAAGAGATGGACAGCTGTGGTGGTGTTGGTGAGGCAGACCGAATAATGTTCAGAGACATTGACATACTACTTCCCAAGCACAGAGGCAAATCACTATTCTGCTACGTGGTTTTGACCAATTTGCTTTTATAAATTTATTTTCAGTGAGTCAGCCCCACAAACATGCTGTTCAAGCAGCATGTTCAACGCTTTGAGAGGCTTATGATAAAAGATCATCAGAAGACAGTAAGAATTTCAGCTTAGAAAAACAAGAATTCAAAATAATGTTAATAATCTATTTTGAAGTAGAAAATTTCAGATGTCACAGGTGCTATGAATAAAAGAGCAGATATTCATGACAACTTCTTTCTTCTACAGAAGCAGAAAATCTTTTTCAGAGAGAAAAACAAGACAGAAGAGGCATTTTTTTTTCTCTTTTAGAAACACCCATTTTGATAATAGTTACCTACAAGACATAAGTAGAAATTCACTCTGCAATTTTTCTTCCCTATGCTTGAAATTAAAAGCACAGCAGAAAAAGAAACTAAACCAAAAGCAAGCAATCTAAAAGAAGAATCACTGAAAACATATGTAGATCATCAGAGAGGCAACAGAAAGAATTCTGGCAGCTGTCAACGCTATGCACAAAAAAAATTCTTAAGAGTAGCTGATTTCTCTTAAGAGTTAGTAAACTATCAAACTGTAACAGTAATATTCATGAAATTTTTGTATACAGATATGTATTTGCACACAGAGCTGCTATAAAGTTGACAAAAAACTTTGTGGACAGGGGGTAGAAACACCACATTTCCAAGCACAGTTCCACAGCCACCTGTGGGAAGTCAAAGTCACCGCCAGTTCACTTCTCCACACATGTGCTTAGCATTCCCTCTCTTTTAAAACCTGAGTAATTTTATTAACCTATTGGAAGACTTCACCCTGAATTTCATGGACAAAAGTTTAATTTTACAGCTGTCATTTGGCCTTAACTTTAATAATTTTAGAAGAAGAATGTATGTAAGAACAATCATGCTGAATCTGACAAATGGTCTGCTTGGCCTAATATCATTTCCCCTGCAGTGGTCATAAACAGACACCTAGGTGACAGAATCCATAGTCTTGTTAAAATGCCTCCACAAAAGTAACAGGAATATTTCTCTTCATTTTTCTGGTAGCTGAAAAACAGGTCAGGCCCTCCAACAGAAACCAGCATTATGTTGGCTCACTTCTGTCAGGAAACCAGTTGTTCTTGTTCCTGCTTTTACCAGAGAGAGCACTACATTCTTAAATGAAAATCCAGGAGAAATGGAAGGAGTGTGAGCAGAAATCATCACAAAAAAAGTACACATGAACCTTTATGAAGAAGCAGAAGTAAAGTGATATGAAAGTGATATGAAAGATATGAACTTCAACTTCTGGAAGACTGAAGCTAACACTTAGCTGGTTTAACTGATCAGGCCTGTCAGTAATGTTAAACATGACTGGCCACAAAAGAAGTTGACCTTTGTGTGTTAAATCATGCTTTCCAGTGTCAAGTCCAAAGATTACCACCATTACTGCAATTTAGGTCTGCAACATGACTAATTTCAACTATCTTTTAAAAAACATGACTTTTACTCCTTTTGTTCTGAAAGATAATATTACCAATATTATTGTAGGAGAAGAACTAAAAGCAATAACAGTAGTCCAGAAGGACACCACAGCTTATAGAGAGGCACATGGTGTACATGCAAAATAGGGCAAGATTGAATTAGGGCAGTTTCCCAGCCACATACATGTTTTTCACTGGAGAAGTGAGGAGAAAGTTCCTCCTTAAGGCACTAGCCACAACTGGGCTAACAAAGTTCTATGGCAGCTGCACAGAAACGCTGTGGCAGGTTAGCTTCAGAATAGTTAATACAACTACAAGAAACTTCAACCTCCAGGCATACTCTTCACTCAAATCTAAATACTGAATAACCTGCACCAATTTAAGTCCTTACACCTCCAATATCACCCTTAAAACTGTTAAAACAGGGATCATCAAGACCACCAAAACAGAGTGTGTGAAGGACGGAGTACTATTAATCCCACTGATGTTCCCTGTCAGAACTCTTTCCAGTCTCAAGAGGAGAGAAGAGAATGAGGCAGGTAAGCTTTCAAAGAGTGAAGATGATCTTCAACACCAGCAATCTCCATTAATTGGAAACTCTGTGTCTGAACAGTATTGCCAGGTCTTTCTGCCCACTCAGATCTTCCCCTGGCTTACACTTCTAAGGTCTTTATGGAAATATAGTAACATTAGCCATACACAGATAAACACACATGCATATAACATAGCCAGGTATACAGCATTTGCTTCTTCCCCATCAATTTAGGTTTCTTCCATTATCCTGGCAAAATCAGAACTTCAGAAAAGCTGTTCAGTAACTGCTAAAACCCTCTGTTCTATAACACTGAAGACAGTAATTGGAGGTGGGGAGGAAGAGAAAAAGAAATTAACTTATCATTTAAGGACATACAGTACTGCCTGCCTGCCCCTGGTTCCACTTAAACTGAAAAATCTCCAGAGCCACACATAGACTCTGTGAAAGAACAGTCATGTCTTAAGTCACAGTTTCCAAAACCTCCTTTTCTACTATCATTGATGACCTACAGAGAAAATTTCACCAAATGACAGAAATATGGAACACCTCTATTAGAAAAATAATTTAATAGGTAACTAAGCTTTTCCTCCATCTTTCATTTAACCAATTTAGAAACTGTCAAATAATAATTTATAATTCTTACCTGCTTTTTTCTTGAAGTTGCCTTGGGCAACAGACTGGCTGACAAAACTGATGCAAACGGCGAGCAACACAGCTCGGGAAAAGGATTTGGAATCGATGGGTTCTCCAAAATACTGTCACCTTCCTTTTTTCTCCTATTTCAACAGAATACATAATATCAAGCAATAATTGTAACAGCTGCTGATAAAATTGCAATATCCAACCACAACATATGAACTTCTAAGGCACTAATACCACAATGCTTCCTGGTTGCAGCAATTAGCTATTTTTTTTTTTTGCAGTTATTTTATTTAATCAGTAGGCTGAATATATTAACATACAGTGCCTAACACTACTTGAAAGCAATCCAAGTATTCAGCTCTGAATATAAAGTTGTTTGAATATGCGTAAGTCTTTGCAGAGTAAGAGCAGAGATATATTTATATTGGCTTCTAAGGACATTAGTAAATATTTTGTTGTCCCTGTGTTTATGCCATTCCCTATGTACACATATTACAACAGTAGATGTATGTAACTTCTCAGCAAAACTTCCCAAGTATATCACAACAGTATTTTAAATAAATGGAAACTTTTGTTTAACCGGAATCGAATCAAAGTGACTGACAAGAGAAAACAGTGCAAAGCAATCCATTTATTTCTGTTTCCAGTTAGTTTTGTATTGAAATCTCTGCAGCTCCATTAGAAAATAAATGTCTCAGTTGTTGCTGTCTGCTGAAACAGGATTGTGTCAGAAGCATGACCAGGCAGCATTTGCAGGAGTAGTGAAGGTAATCACTACTGTACTTGCTGAAGAGCTCAGTTATGCACTGGTTTAAAGTGTCACATTAATAATGTGGTTGTTTAGACTGCTGTGTACATGGTTTTCTCACATAAAATATTGAAGAGCACTTTGTCTACTCGATTTCATCTGGATACCTGCACCCAAACCACCTGATGTATATGCATCTGCCAACACATAATAAGAGTTTTCTACATGTTTGAGTTGATGCCTCCAAGCTTAGTATTTTACTTTATCACCTCATTATCATTACAGATTTCATACAGTAATTAGTACAAAGTGGGGAAAACCATCAGAGTAAGGTAACAATACAGAATGAAGATACAGATTTTAACTTACTGAAAATCCTCACCAAACTGGTTCATTTAAAGTGGTATTTTGCTTTAGGAGGAGCAAAAAATCCTGTAATGCAGTATTTTAAGATTTTGTAAACTTCAGTCTACCAAAACTCATCAGATGCCTCATGAAAAACCCAGCTCATAGCTTCCTTTACTAAGAATAGAGACGAATGCCTTTAAGAAGAGCCTGAGAGGTAACAAACGGGGTGCACACCGCTGACAGCGGCACCGCTCCCGGTGAAGAGGTTTTATCTCACCAACACTCTTGAGAAAGACACTGCAAGGATAAAGTAGCGCCTGGCTCAGCCTGACAAGGCAGGCTCGGCACTGCCAGCTCCTTTCACCTCAAACTGAGAAACCTCAAAAATTAAAAGGGGGTGGGGGGTGGGACACACACGCATCCGCAGCGCTGGAAAGTGCCTGCAGGGCCGGGAAACAACTTTTGAGCTCCAGGGCAGCGCGGACCGGTCCAGAGCCAGGCCGCCCCCCATGCTGCGCTTCGCCCCCNGGTGCCCTTCGGCTGCTCGGCCAGGCCGGGCGGCGGAGCGGGGCGGGCCCGGCAGGTGTACGGGCCCGGGACCCGAGGCCGCGGCGTGACCCGGTGGGGCCCCGCTGAGCGGGCCCGGCCCTCGCCCTGCACCTCTGCGCCTTCGCCCGAGGGGGGCACCGCCGGCAGCGCTGCCCCCGGCATGGCCCGCGACCTCCTGCCCCGCGCTGAGCAGCGGGCTCCAGCCGCACACCGCCGGACGGGCCTGACACGCGACTCGGCGCCTGGCAAATCATTAACTAAACTGACACATCCCTCTGTGCATCGGGAATTCATGGATATGCCTTGGAGAAATAGGGAATGACCGAGGCCCGGGGACAAACCCGTTACCCCGTGCCGGAGGAGCGGCTCGTGAGGAGGCTGCTCTCCGGGCTGGGCCCAGCACCCGCGTCCAGCCACAGCCTGGAGCGCAGCGGAATGTGAAAAGGTTTCCTTCGTGCCCAGGGCTGCTCCCCAGCAGCCTGCTCCTGCTCTGCTTTATGTACATAAATCCCTCTGTGGCAATTCCATGGCCGTCCTTATCAGCGTTCATCTGATTTCAAAATAAAAAAATACCCCTTGCTGTATGAAGAACAGTTCGATGTCACCAAGCAGAGTGGGTAATACTGTGTAAGTCAGTCAATTTGACAGTCAAAAACTGAAAGGCCCTGGTGATGACAGTCCCATGTAGAAACCTGACTGTCCTTGGCATTGTCAGGGGCAGTAACAGATGTGAGACTGGTAAAAATACAGCATATTTTGAGGCAAATGCTTTGCTGTTTTCCCAAATCCGCTGGAAAAATCATCATGCACAAGCCGAGATTTCAATTCTGGAGAAAAATTTTTGTGTCATAGAAGCAATACTCAGAGTTTTCATTTTGGCTGAGTCACAGATGATTTTGCAGGACATTAATTTTCAATGTAATGAAGGATTCCTTGTCCCCTGAACAGCTCATTCTGTTACACTTACAACAGAAGTCGAAGTCTGAGTTGATTAACAGTTCTTATATAAAAAGTCTGGCAAATATACCGGGAGTTTTACAGTGTCAGATAATTGACTGGATTTGCTCGTTGCTTGTGAACAGCTATCCTTTTACAAAACCGCAAAGACCAGGCCACTGGGTTTTTTTGCCTAACTGATTCACTGCCGTAACTGTGGCATGTTAAAACTCATTGTCTTCAGAAGAATAGAAGGCAGGACAACTGGTATAGGTGCTCTAGGTAGAAAACTGAGATTGGGAAGAGATTAAAACCTGCAAGTGGCAATTGTGTGCTGATATTCATCAGCATTTAAAAAGTTCAGCTGCAAAAAGAATATATTTTGACTTTTCACATATTCTGTGCAACGTGTTACACAGCTGCAACCTGACATACGTGGTGTGTTTTTGTGTCTTTGGCTTAGTCATGTAATTGTTTTAAAATGTCAGGCAAATAAAAACCACAATTATAATGAATAATAGCAAATAAATTAAATACTTTATTTTTCAAAATAACTTTGGTGATTATCTAATTAGTCATGACAGCAACAATGCCTTTTCTAGAAAAAAATCAATAAAAATGTAATGCTATTATAATTTCACTTGCATGTTGTAAGAAACAAATTGACTTAATTTTTTTTTTCTGTATCTCATAGTCTGTCCTGATGCTTGCTGCTGTCTCTGGGAATAGCACTGAATGAGGGAAATACAGTCAGTGGAATACTGAGGCACAGAAGGACCTATGTGGTTGTTCCAGTGTAGCATTGGACATGTTGCATGCATGAGAACGTGAAACTAAAGGTTCTCCTGCCTTACTGTCTCTGCAAACAACAGTAAGAATAAAAATGGTGTCCTGAGCTTGGCTGAAGATACCTGAGAGCATTTGACCTAGAATCTACTCAAGTGTAACCTTTTTAACTCCTTCTTTGAAAAAGTACAAACCCAGTAATCTCTGAACAGTTAATAGAGTTGATATTACAAGACTGGAAGATTTCTGCTAAGACCCAACACCAAAACATTTGTTGAGCTGTGTGACTTGGTTTCCTTTTCACCATAAATACATTTAAGCTGTCTAGTGTGCTTTTTGCTAATTACTGTGCTTGTGCAGCACAGTTGTTCTAAGATTTACCATTTCCCTAAAACTAAATTTCTCTGTATTCTTCAATACTCAGTTGGCTTTTCCCCTCTCTTAATTTTACCTTTCTTAGTCATAATCAGGTCCAGGTGTTTATCAAGTAAAATTGAAATATATATTGAGAAAAATTGCAACAGATTCAAGCTATTCAGTATGCACCCCACTTCCAGAAAATCAAGCTCTCCAGTTCTCAAAAGCCTGTATGCTATTTAGAATCACAACACTTGATTAATGTGACAAAATTATGTCTCTAATTAGAGTAAACTCAAAATTATTACTTACAAAATGGAGGTTTAAAAAATCCAAACTACCTCTGATTATCTTCAAAAACTGTTGAGGATATTTGTTGGATTTTTTTTTTGCCACTCTTCCACACATCCCCCCTTGCTTTTATCAAAATACTCACAATGTCTGTATAATGGTTTTACCACAAAAAGCTCCACCACCCTAAGAGAACTAATATCATACCTTTACACAATCTTTTGCCATAGCTACAGTAGTAGAGAAAGGGGTTATTTCTATTCAAGTGCTAGATTGAAGCCACAGAAAGAGCTACTTTTTCCAGTGCAAAGCTACAATCAGGCATGTCTTGTCTCCCCATAAGTTTTCTCCAAAAGCCCCCCAAAATAAATTTCATCAGCAGTAATGCTGAGGATAATCCTAAGAAAAAAGTCATTTGTTCAGTAAAAAAGGCATGCCCCAGTTTATGTGTATTTATTATCTCAATGGACTTAAAATGTGTTGAACAAATCATTCGCATACAATGAGCTGTGCATTCTTGCTCCTTTTTGAGCATTTCAAAAGCCCATTTGTAACTTTGAAAATGGGCTCAAGTACTTCATGAGAGCCAATTTATCCAGTGACCACAAATGGAGATACCACTAGCTAACTTCCTGGCAGTAGTGAGTAAGTCTTTGAAAAGTATCTGTGGTTGAATGTTTTGTGAGGAGTCTTCCCTATTACTACAGCTTCCACTGAATGTTAAGTTTACAATTATCGTCAAAATGTGTATCTTTTATTGCAGGTAGGGAAAATGTTCCAAGGGATTAAATCAGTACCACCAGTCTCAGTCATTTCCCCAAGCTGCTTGTTAACCCAAAACTCAGATTGTACAGCTACACAAACCATAGCACAGTAACACTCCAGTGTCTCCCCTGACTACATTCTCTTTAGATAAAGAAGCAGATTTGCACTTGTTTTCTGCTGTTGTTTGGTTTAGGACTTTCATTTTTTTTAATTGAAAAGCATGAATACTTTAGCATACTTTTGTAAAAAACTTGAGTAGAGAGATGGATTTTATTGCCAGCTTTGACAACAGTGTTTGCTACTTCAATAGCAAGTTCTGTGATTCCCCATGATAGCTCTGTCAGAACATCCCCCGATGGAATTTTGCCTTGAACTGTAACACAAGATTGGAATGAAATCCTGTGCAGTTTTGTGGGTTTTTTCTAGAATAAGAATTATACCATTCAAATCAATCAAATTAAATCGAATCAGGAGCTTGTGATTTCTGCAGTGTTATTATAGCCAAGAGCAGATAATGAAGTTCAGCACAGGGTTGACTGAGTGGCACGTAGGGTTTGTGAGCTGCAGGTTAGACATGTGACATGCTGGCTTCTGCTCCCTCGCACTAGGGCTGCGTGAAATCAGTCACACTGAACGTCTGTAATAAACGATGCATTAGGTGATGCAATCTGTGCTGGCCAACCTTGAACTGAGGCCTAAAGTTCCTTCCTAGAGAGAACTGTAATGGCCCAGGGTGAGTGTTACATACGTGGGGGTTACGGTGGCTACATCTGCATCTAATGGTAGTTGGAGGCTGTGTGCTCACTTCCAGAAATAACTGCAGCCGTATATTATGTGGTTCATTTGTCCATAACTACCCCTAGTACCACAACAGCTACTGCACTAGATGTAATCTTCTGGAAGGGAATTGACAAGTGGATGACTTTAAACATCACATAAATTATTAACCATTTAGATAAATTAAACAGGCGATGTTTCACAACAGCAGAGTACTGCTGATACTTTTTACAGGCCTATTTCTGAAACTCCACCTAACACAAAAAACATAATTTCTGACCTCAAATGCCTTCAGAATACTGCACAAAAACATGTAATTATTATGGAAGGAAGGTTGCAGGTGACTGTTCTATCTGGTATTCCATGTGTTTATCCAGCACATAGCAGTTTAGTTTCTGTAATGTGAGTTGTTGAGAAATCAGATACAAGATCCTTTAAAACTAGTCATTTTGTAGAGTGGGAAACAAAATATAAATATTTTTAAAAAAGAACAAACTAAAAACAAAACAACAAAAAACCCCAACCCCGCAGCAAACACAAACCAACCACAAAAAAATAAAAACAAGAAATGTAGAGCTAAAATGACTTTTCACAAACAGCCACACCACTCATAAGTCTCAGCCATTTCTGAGCTGCTGCCAAGGACACTGAAACCATAGAACCAGACAAAGTACGGTAAGAGTCTCCAGATACATGCAAAAAAAGGAAGACAAATGTAAACTTCTTTTGGACTTAAAGAAACTACATACCTGGTGAGACTCAAGGCATGCAGCACTGCACTTCTGTTATCAGAGTACAAGACTGATGT